AGAGAAGATACTAGAGAGGGGGAGGGAGATAATAATAGTAATAAGTAGGAACATATTAAGAATATATTAAGAATAGGTTCTAATAAATAATATATAATAGTATATAACCTAAAGGGGTAGTAGTAATTACTAAAATAAACTCTTTACTCTTCTCTTTTTTTTTCTATCTACTAAAAGTAAAGTACTATTTACTTTTATAGGGTCCTTTAATAGTATATAACTTTTTCTTTTAACTTTTATAGGTATTATAAAGCTTTAGTAGTCCCTTAGATTAAAGAAGAATCTAGTATTTATAGGTGTCTAGCTATAACGTATTATTAACATGTTCTAAACGTGTTTTAAGAGACTAGACTTATATCTCCTTTTTACTACTTTTGCTAAATATTATTTATAGTGTAAAGGGGAGCAACTATTTACTCCTCTTCTTTACTCTCTGCTTCCTCTTTAGCCTCTACTCTAGCTACTACTTCTTGTTGTAGACTAGCTATCTTAGAGGGTTCTTGAACCTTAGAGGAGGCACTTAGTGCAGTCTACTCTACTAGCAGAGAATATATTATTAATGTGTTTAGAACACGTTCTTAAGCATTTACTATTAAGCTCCTATAGAAGATCCTTGCTTCTATAATACCTTGTATTGTGGTTCTGCTATAGTTTACTAGGGCTATTTAAACCTTAGGATAATACCTCTTAAGGTAGTAGATAAGATTGCCTCTATTAGAGAAGCGACGCTAAAATAGTTATTAATATATTATAAACATGTTCTAACTCGCATGTATATATACTCTACAAAGTTCCTATACCCCTAATCTAGCCTAAATAGCCTAGCAGAAAAGCTCACTAGGAAATACTATACACCTATTATTTAGGTAGGATATTGCAGGAGAGAATGCCTTAGTATTAGATAGAAGTAACTTAAGCTTAATATATTGCTAGTATAAATCCTACTTAGTATTAGAATAAGTTTATAACGTGTTCCTAACGCGTTCTATCATATACTAACTTTAAAAGATCTTTGTAGACTATATTAACTAGTTATATCTAATAATATTAGGAAAGATAGATAGTAAAATAGTATTAAACTCTTAAATATAAAAAGTTCTTGTAGAGTGTAAGAAGAAAGAAGAAGAAAGAGAAGAAGAAAGAATATATATTTATCTACTTATATATGCTTACGTAATAGACTAGAATATATTAAGAACTAGTTAGGAACTAGTTACTATATTTATAGACTAACCCTACCTTATATAAAAAGTAGCTATCTCTTTCTTAAGTTTAAACTATACCTTTTACAATTTAAATAGTGCCTTTTTCTATATAAGTTCTTCCTTATCTACCTTTAGCTTTTCTTTTCTCTCCTTTAGAGCCTAATTACTAAGAAGAGCCTTTTATTATAAAGTTTATAGTTATAGACTAATAATAAGTTAAGAATGTGTTATAAACGTGTTTCGCGAAGCATACCTTTAGGTTGCTATTAGTAGAGGAGAAGAGCCTAGTAGTAGAGAAGATAGAAAAGGGGCTAGTAAACTTCTTTCTAATACTGCTCTACTACTTGCCCTCTAGCTTTAGGCTTTTAAGCGTGCTTTTTTATTTCTTATTAGGACTAAGATATATCTAGTTAAGTTAGATATAGCAAGACTTGCTTTATTATTATCTAGAGTGTTATTATTATTATAGGACGTATTCTAAATATATTCTAAACACGTTTTAATTAGCAAATATGTATAACACTAGCGTAAGACTTACTTTCTCCCCTCTAAAGCTTTTTAAGGTACCTTTGCTTAAGCCTATTAGGAGTTCTATAGTTATAGTGTATTCTAAACTTGCTCTAGGCTTTAAACTCTTTTATATCCTGCAGATCTATCTAGTATATACTACATAATATTACTTATACAATTCTAATAGGTTAAGAATAGGTTATAAACTTACTTCTAAGTAGCCTTAAGAATACTTACATGCTTACTAGTTTTATATCCTTTCTAGCCTGCTTGCTTAGCTATATTTAAATAAGATTCTAGTTTTTCCTATACCTCTTTTAATATTTTACTATAGTATTGCACAATCCTAGTAGTAATTACTAGGTTTTTCTTATAGATTACCTAGTTTTAGGCATCTTTAGAGGGTTCGTGTTCTAATTATGTAAGAACAAGTTAGGAACATGTTTAGAATAGGTTTAGAATATATTTACTTACGTAAGAGGAGGTTAGCAAGCTAAAAGTATTCCTCTACTATTAATGCCTGTAGTAATTCACTTAGACGTAAAGAGGTAGTATTATCTAGCTCTCTTTTATATGCTTTGTGAATACTTCTTTGTAGATGTACTTAACAAAATCTTATACAAGATTAAAGTTGCTAGCGCTAGTCATGCTTATAGGGATTAATTAACTAGAGATAGCGCCTAAGTCCTAGAAACAAGTTAGAAACACGTTACAAACATGTTATAGTGCGCCATAAAACTTGCCTGTTATCTGCTTATTATATATGTTAATAGTAGTCCTATAGAATCCCTGTAAGTAAATATGCCTCTATAACACTTGTCTTTTTATAAGTGCTTTATACTTCTAAAAGAAGTTAGTAATAGTAACTTAATATATCTTAGTTATATCCTTATCTATAATAATTTAGCTAAGTATAATAACTATAACGTGTTAGAAACGTGTTACAAACCTATTCTTAATACGTACGCTTCTTTTCCTATAGGTAGAAGATTACTATTAGAATCTCTACCTATACCCTATATAACCTCTTATATAACATATCTATCTAGAATATGTCTTAATCTAATAGAATTAATACCTACTCTTTAAAAAGGCAAATAATTAAGTTACCTAAGCTTAATGTAAAGATTTGCTATATATACGCCTATAGTAACGTGTTAGCAACGTGTTCTAAACCTGTTCTCTTACACTACGTATAGTTTTAGGATCCTAATACTTTGTCCTCTACTTATAGTATACTCCTCTAAGGCTACTCTTAAATAGGAACTGTAGAAGCTTTTTACGCTTTATAATACGCGAGATTTTATCTTTATTTGCGAAGCTAATATGTATTTCTTTAATAGAATAGAAACCTTTAAGTTAGAGATAGGTTTAGAGCTAGGTTAAGTTTAGGAACTAGGCTATAATAAGTTAGGAATATATTTATAATAGGTTACAAATAACTTATATTACGTAAGCTATAGAGTAAGTATAGGCTACAACACCTTTACTACTTCCTTAATATTACTATTAGATAGTGTTAAGGGAGGAGGAGGTATATATATATATATACTAAAAGAAATAATAGTAAAAAAAGGTATTACTACTATATCTATTAGTATAATTACTTAGAAGGTAACTTTATATAGGATTTTAAATAGAGATCCTTGCCCTTATAGATAATTAACGCCTAGAATATATTAGGAACATGTTAGGAATAGGTTGCAATATGCCTACTACACTTCTTTATCTAGCTTAACTGTGGCTTAACCACAGAATATAAAGCAGGACTACTAGAAAGATTTAATATCTCCCTAGTTAGAAGACCTTATAGATATGTGGAGTCTACCTCTAGTAGTACCTAACTAAAATAATGTTTTTTCCTAGTAGTAGATATTAGGCTATAGTTCTAACAGCTAATATATAGTTAAGCCTGTTCTATAATTTACTAACTTATTATTAACACGTTTTAAATATGTTTAAGTTTTGCTCCCTACTTAATTTACTATAGTCCTTATTATAGGATAATAAGATACCTAGTAGTCCTTATAAATCCTTAAAGAGAAGCGCTTAATAAGGCTATAATAATAGCTTCTTATTTATAGTTCTCTTTATAGAATTTTCTTAGGTACTACACTTTTTAAGGTTTAGATCTAATTGTATAATACGTTATTAACAACGTAATAAGAACATGTTTATAACGTGTTCTTAAGATACTTACATGCTTTTACCCTAGAGTATTAGTATTTATACTAGCTTGCTAGCTAGCTATTAAAGAATAGTAAAGTTGTAGGCCTGTTAAGATAGATAGACTAGCGGGAGTATTATACCTACTAGAATTAGAACAATTTAAGAACGTGTTCTTAACGTGTTACCTATATAGCCTGTATAAGCACCTCTTCTCTTATTAGGTAAGAGCTATCTTTATATTACTAAACTAGTATTATATACCTATACCCTTAGCTATGTAATTAAGGGTATGCTAGAAGAATAGCTACATGCTTAATAATTACTAGTGTAAGTAGTGGTCCTTAACTATTACTACAAGTAAGGTATATATTGTGCCCCTATAACGTGTTACTAACCTATTCTAAACTTATTCTATTTACTTTTACTTACTTCCTTAATACTACTACTACTATCCTTCTCTAGCACTTTATATAGTTGCCTAAATTTATCTCTAATATTACTATCTAGTTTAGATATATTATCTAGTACTACTATACTAAACTCTAGTATAGTATTTAGGAACGCCTATATATTATTAAGAATAGGTTTAGAATATATTTAAAAAAGATAGTAATAAAAACTGCGTTTACTTGCTTAAATTACCCTAATTTATACTTAACTATAGGCTAGTTTATATAACTATAAAAATTTGCCGCTGTGACGTGGACTTGAACCTACAGGGATATTCTAACCACTCGGAGTAAAGCCCAAGTCGCCCGACGCTAAACCCATGGTCATATGACATGCCACCACCTAGTAGAGCTTGGCACGGCCTAACCCCATGCCGAATACGAGTTCACGCAGCGCTAATTCCATGGTTATATGAACTGCGCCCTCTTCTTCCGTCTTCAACAAACATCCTAGTCACAACGCAACGCGTGCTATTATTGGGAGGAAAGCGTCCGGGGAGGTGCATGTTTCGGTGCAAAACAACACGCTGATTCATTTCCCCTTGGACCTTTTTTTTTCTTTGCTCGCGCCTTTCATTTTTTTTACCTTGCCTTCTGGCCTTTTGGCCTATACACTGTCTTCTTTTCTAGCGTGTTTTGGTCCTGTGTCTTGCCGCATTCTCTCGCTATGGTCTCTCCAACGCCTCTGTCCCAGCCCGTTCCGACGCGGTCGCCGGTCACAGATGAGGTGGCCAATCTGCGTCATCCCATGCCCGATTTGCAGTCACTACAAGGAGCGTACGTCGGCAACATCGAGCGCCTTGAGGAACATGCGGAGCGCATGAGCGAGGGCGGCTCAGACTTGGGCGAGGAGATCCGCAAACTACACACCCAACTGAAGCAGTCTGACAGCCGGCGATCCTCCTTGCGTTCCATCCAAACCTTTGACGAGCTCACACGCCAGCGCAGCCGCGGCCTGTCGGCCAGCTCCCACGCAAATTCCATTGTCGACCTCAATGGCAATGCACGATGGGGTGGCTACTCGCCGGGGGGCTACAACATCACCTCCCCGGTCGGCTCCGTTCGTTCCAATTCCTGGACGAACCCGTCCAATTCCTTCCAACGCCAGCGCTCCGAGTCCAAAACCTCGCGATTAGGCCAGATTGTCCATCCAGAAGAAGTCGTAGAGGATGCAGGAAGATTCGAACAACACTCGCGCTCCCCGCGCTCACTCCAGTCGGCTCCTCTGGCTACTCACTCCAGTCGTTCACCACCCGCAGTCGAGCAACGCAAGGTTTCCTCGTTCACAAAGATCTACGATGAGATTGCAAATGACCTGCCGGAAGACTTGCGGAATAACGTCATCATGGCTGGCACCCCAGAACGTTCCGGACCGACACAGGGTGACCACGAACACGACCACAACCAGTACCAACAGTATGCAAGCCATCACGACTACCCAGATCGACCCCCCACCGCTGCCTCTACCGACACAACCCACCAAGCCCGTACCTTGTGGCAAGACTTTGACGGCACTCATGCCCCGGAGACTGTGATTGAAGAGGAACCCGAGTCACCGCACAGTAGGCAGAGTCGCAACCATCGACGGCAGTCCTCGAACTTGTCATTTCAGATGCGTCCAAACTCTGAGATGCCTCCCATGGGAGCCCCTCCACCAGATGACAACATGGTCTTCTACCCAGCTCCTGTTCCCAAAATGTTGAATCTACCAAAGCGCCTATCACAGCTGCCCGCCAGCAACGTCCAAGCCAGACGAAGGACCCAGCTCCTAGAATCGATGCAGCAAGAGAATCGCAAATCTGCCGCAATGGTTGGTGACATGGCCGACTTACCTCCTGCCAATAACAGAAAGAGCCGTCAGAGCCTCATGGGGCTACCCCCGCAATTGCGTGCAAGTGCCTACTTTGATCAGGCCCCACAGTCACAGGAGTTTGCAGTCAAAGGTGACTCTGCTGAGCAAACCCTCGAAAGCATCCTCGATGCTTCTGCTCGTGCCCCGGTTTCTGCCTTCACAGATCACCCCTTTTCTGGCAGTTCCGGCAAAGAAATATATGCACCAGAACAAAAGCGGAGAAAGTCTCATCTACCAGAAGTACCTTCGACCCTTGCTCAAACGAGAAGGCGGAGTTCCTTCAATGTGCTGGACACCAAGAATAATTCCAACGGCGAACCGTTGAATAAGCTGAAGAAGCGCAACAGCTCCGCTGACATGAATCTTCTGATCGTCAAGGCTAGCGAAAGTAGAATGAGTCTGGGCGACGAACTTGATGAACGCGACGAGGATGCTCGGGGTCCACACAATCAGCACGACAACGCCACGAAGAGGGACTCGTTTGAGAATGAACATCGCAATCCTGACGATATCTACGACGATGATGAGCATTCATCAGCGGATGAGGAAGAAAAGGAACCGGAGGAAGAAGAGTTGCAGTTTGGCGCGCCAACCACCTTGCTTGCAGAACTCCAAATTCGACAGGCAAAGCAGAAAACGCGAACAGTGAATTACGCAACTTTAGTTGAACAAGGCATGATCAATTCGCGCAAGACTCTGCTTGAGATGGACGATGTTGCTGAAAAGGAAAAGCAAAGGCGCATCAAGAAAAAGGTCAACCTTGCTTGGGAAGCGCATGCCGAGGAAGATGAGGACTCGGAGGACGATGTGCCACTTGGTATTTTGTATAAACCTGGCGGTGGCCCACTTAGAAGAGAAACGAGTCAACCTACTTTCGGTTTAATTGCACAGAGAGAGCTGGAAGATAACGAGCCTTTAAGTCGTCGACGCAATCGCCTGCGTGGCCTTGATCCCAACAAACCTCGCGGCGCAAGCCCCAATAAACAAGCACAACAGTATGAATCTCCCAGCCAGTTAAACCTTGCTGTTCCTACCACTGGGACCCCAGACCCGGATGATGGCGATGTGGAAGGTGAAACATTGCTTGAACGGAAGCAACGTCTCAAGGAAAAACAAGCCCTCAGTGCCGCTCTAGGAGAGGATGTTCGGAAGAGCACAGTCAGCGGAGACTTCGCTTCAGAAATGCTCAGCAAACTTGGTGTCTCACAAAACGAAGACACCCCTACGGCAGCAACAGACACTGCTCCGGCCGCCGACGAAGAAGAAACTCTTGGCCAGCGTCGTGCCCGTCTCCAAGCCGAAGCCGCTGCCCGTGGCGACAGCGCACCAGCTTCCCGCCCACCCCTTCGTTCTACCTCTAGCCTTGCAGACATTCTCTCCCAAAATCCCATCAACAATACCCACGAAGCGCGCAAAGTCTCGAATGAAATGCTCGTCTCGCACCTCCCGCAGGGAAGTCTTCTCCAGCAAAACGAAGTCGCAGCAGAGCGCAAGAAGCAACAGCGTCTTACGCAGAATATGCGTGCGAGTAGCTATGGCGCCATGCATGTTGACCCCTTACTTGGAGATGTGGGAGCTGAGAAACATGACGATGATCAGCCTCTTGGATTGAAGATTCAGGCGTACAAGAAGGCCATGGCTGCTTCTCCTTCTGCTGTGATACTCCAGCAACAACGAGAGCAGCAGCAGCAGCAACAACAACAACAACAAAGTATGCTAGGCATGCATTCTATGGGAATGATGTCTACACCCAACCTCATGGGCCACGCAAATCCCCAGATGATGGGCATGGGCGCTATGCAGCCATTTCCTCAACAACAGCAAAGTATGATGGGGGTGGGGGGTATGCAAATGAATACTATGAACATGGGTATGGGCATGGGCGGTGTGCCGATGAACAGTATGAATCTGGGCATGGGCGTCTCGAATATGCAGATGCCAATGGGCATGCAGATGAGCATGGGTATGAATGGGATGCCCATGATGATTGGGCCGAATGGAATGCCCATGATGATGTCGCCCATGGATCCGAGGCAGAGGGATCAGATTGATCGCTGGATGCAGGGGATCAGGCACTAGATTTGTTTTGTTTGAGAATTCTGTTGATTCTCAGCGTCAAGGGGATCTGGAGGCGGGGGAAGGGATCTTGAAGTTTCGATCTTGGATTTGGATTTGGACATAGCGGGGCGTTTAGCATTGTGCGGTTGGTCTCTTTGGTTAGGGCGTTCGCGAGGGATTGGATACAGGATGGGATGCGCTACCAAACAAGGGTAACTGGATAGGTGTCCTCGTAGAAGGAAAGCCTGTTCAAGTTGTGTCGCTGCGTCGCTGACTGCTTTGCGGTCTTATCATATACTGCTTGAACTTGGCTGCCAGGATTTCATTCGTTGGGTCGAAGTGCTACAATACTGTAAGACCGTTATGTATTAAGAACTACTGGAAGCGCTTCTCCGCCGCCTTCCAGTTGATGACCTTCCAAATCGCCTTGAAGTACTCGGCCTTCCTGTTCTGGTAGTCCAAGTAGTACGCGTGCTCCCATGCATCCACTCCCAAGATGGGCCTGAACTGTCCGACCACAGGATCCTGGTTCGCATATGTCCTGATCTGCAAGCTTCCTGTCTGCACATCCTGGACCAACCACGCCCATCCGCTGCCTTGAATCCCGGCTAGTGCCGTGTTGAACTTGTCAGTGAATGCATCGAGGGTGCCGTAACTGTCGTTGATGGCCTTGGCGAGCGGGCCCGAGGGAGGCTCACCGCCGCCCTTGGAGGTGGGTGCCAAGTTCTCCCAGAAGAGCGAGTGGTTGATGTGGCCGCCGCCGTGGAAGTTGATGGCGGGCTGGAGTGCGATTTGGGCCTTGATGTCTGATTTGGCCTTTGCTTCGGCGAGTTGCTCGGAGAAGTTGTTGAACGAGGTTACATAGGTGTTGTGGTGGTTCTTGTGGTGGAGTTCCATGATCTTACCCGAGATGGAGGGCTCGAGGGCGCCATAGTCGTCTGGAAGGGAGGGTCAGAAGACTTGGGGAGATTGCATGGGCTATAGGAGGCGAAGACGTGGCTTACACGGCAGATCAGGCAGAGTCGCCTTTCCCCGAACAAATGTGGTGCCAACGAGACGGGCGCGAGACATCTGAGGCGCAGTGGCTCTCGTGGCCGCGCGCAGGGCAGGTGAGCGAAGCAGGGTAGAGTTCATGATGGCCGTGTTTGCGTTCCGAGGGTGGTGTACGGTAGTTCAATTGGGGTTGGACGGTGTTTGGTAGGAGAAGCAGATGAAGGAAGAGAAGAGAGGAACTGGTAGCTTCTAGATGGGAGAGGATTCCTGGACCTGTTCTGATGATCATCGCAACTCTTTCGTCATGTTCGAAGCTCGAATCAGCGAACGCCGAGCTTCCCGTCCAAGCTTCCCTCCGCCCACCCGTGGACGTTTTTGTGACCCCGCCCCTCTAGTGATCCAATGATGGCCACAAAGGGAACATGAACATCACATCCGACAGCTATGCAGTCTCTGTACTCTACACACAGTACTGTACCGGTACTTTGCAGGTAGGCAAAGAGATGAGAGGCGATGGACATATGGGTACATGCCGGTACCTAACGTGATCCACCACCGAGCGCCCACCCCCACCAAGCGCCCACCAACACCAAAATCACCAAATTTTCAACACTAAATTTCTTAATAACTATAGCACCTATTAATAACGCGCTTATAGCAATTAAATCCTTAACTCTTAGAGAAGATTTTATATACTTAGAAATAGTAGAAAAGTATAGTTACTTATAGTTAACCTTATCTAGATACTACTAGAAAATTTAGTAGGTATATATTACTACTTTACTAAATAGTTAAATACTTAATACTATATAAGAAAGTAAGCTTATAGAGTATATTAAAGAGCTTTATAAGTAAGGATTACCCCTTATATAGACTATTATTTAAAATTTTATAACTAAAATAATAAGGAATCTAGTAGGTAAAAATTAGGTATAGCACTTTATTAACTACTATAATATTAATCTTATCTCCTATTAGGCTACTAGGCTTAATTATAACTACTTTAAAGCTAATTCTACCTTTAAGTATAGCTTATACTTTAAGCTTTTATACTAAAAAATAGAGTAATATAATATTAAGAGTTAGTATATCTATAATATAGATAAGAAGGGTTTTCTTATTAAAGTACTATTAAAAACTAAATATATATTTAATAAGAGCGCCTATAAGTAGAGAAAGATTAGAGCTATACTTTAGGATAGTAATAGGGAGTAGATTACTACTATAGCTTGCATATACACTAATAGTACTGCTTTTACCCTTACTCTTATTTATTAGTCCTAATCTAGAGCTTTATAGGATACCTAGTTATAAGATTTTAACCTATTATAATACTAAGCTTTCTTTATAGGATTACTAAGTAGGTAAATAAGCTACACCCTAGGGGTATCCTAGCTTAAGGAGGTGTTTAATTATAAGATAAAAGCTAAAGCTTATACTTTATACTAGCTCCTTATTCTTAATAGCTATAGATCTTATATAATAATAGAGTTTATTAAATACTATAATAAATATAAGATGCTACTTATAATATATCCCTCTTATAGCACTTACACCCTTTAGCTACTTAATATTATAGTATTTACTCCCTTTATAGCTTTATATAAAGCTTAACTATCTAGTTTTCTAGATAGCTCCTAAGGGCTTATAAGTATTACTAAGAGGGATTTCTACTAGTTATTTAATACTATATAAAGCAATACCTTTAAGGAAAAGCTAATATTAATAGCTTTTAAAGTAATAGGTATCTTACTACTTAACCCTAATATTATCCTTTTAAGGTTTAAAGCACCTATAAATAATAGTAACTAGCCTTCTTTAAGTAATAGTATAACCTTAATATTAAGTATAAGTAATTAGAGAAAGATAGAGTAGTTACTCTATAATACTATAATTAATATCTATAATAAATAGTTAAAGAAGCTTAGCTAGATAATCTATACTATATTAGTAAGAAATACTCTACTTAACTATAAAAATAAATACCTAAAGGCTACCCTAGCTAATAAGAAGAAGTGTAGGAAGCGTAGTAAACCTCTATTATTACCTCCTAATAATAATTATAGTAGTAGTGCCTAATTTATTTTACTATTAAAGGTAAAGTAAGTATTTAAGCTCTAGGAGTAAAAGAACCTTAAAGAATAGGAGCTATAATACTAAAAAAGCAAGGTAATTAAGCTTTATAAGTAATAGAAGCTTATTAAAGCTTAACTTATAGAGAAGTATTACCTAAATTAAGTAATTACTAAGAAGGAGTAGGAGGAGAAAGCTACCTAAAAAGCTACTACACGTAATAAGTAGAAAACTACTAAGTAACTAGAAAAGTAACTCTAAAATAATATTAAAATGTCCTAAATAGGTAAGAGGTAAATCCTTAAGCCTTCTACTATTATACTAGCTAAGGTAGTTAATAAGGAGCTAGTGTAACAATAAGGCAGAATTGCCTGCCTATTGTTCTATGCTAAGTTAGGCCTAATAAAGGCCCGACTTACTAATATATATAGAGAACAGCTCGCCTATAGTTAGGATAGGCATGTTCTTCTTATCCTTTTATACAAGACCTATAGGTGTAGGAATCTTATCCTTTTCTATACAGACGCGCACTCCTATATGCCTTTAAGTTATATAGGATACCTTTTAGATACCCTACCTACCTAAGTTGTTATATTATAAGAAGAATATTATCCTAGCTAGTAATAGTATTTAAGAATATCGCATTTATTATTATTTTAAGCTACTAATTTAGTTCTAGTAGCTACCTAACCCTGTAACTCTATAGTTAGAATAGCTATTAGAACTTCTAATAACTAAAGCCTATAGGCTTAGACTTCTAGACCTATAGGTGGTGCTAGATTACCTTTAGAAAAATCGCGTTAGATTGCGTTAAGGTAGAGACCTAGAGACTACTAAAAGCCTAGAGGAATTAGAGGCAAAGCTAATATCCTCCTATAACTAAACCCCCTAAAAGAAAAGATTTATTATTCTTATTAACTACAAAATGTTAGATAAAGGTAAAGGAAGGGTATCTAGTTTAGCTACTTTTAAAAGCCTATTTACTAATAGAAAGAAATTAGATAAGGAAGACTTAATTAACAACGCCCTCCTTAAAGGACCTGCTTCCTATCTATCTCTTAAGGTACCTTGTGCTCCTAGGAAATCTTAAAGCAACACCTCCCTTAAAGATAAATATATATTAACCCTATCTAAAAAGGAGAGGTTAGAGGAATAAGTTAAGTAACTTACTAATTAGTTATATAACACCTCCCTCTATAAGGAGATATAGGGTACTACTTAACCTAGCTAGTCTTTAGCTTCTATATTAAACCCTATAGTATATACTATAAAAGCTAAGAGATAATCTAAAAAGACGCTAAATATATCTATACTTAGTAATAGTGCTAACCCTACTTTTAGATAATAGCAAGTATCTATTTAGGATAGGCTAGAGATTAACACTAATTACTACCCCTCTTCTAGAGCTTAGATAGCGTTAGTCTAGGGACACTGCTTAGGACTAGTAAGAGAATACTTAGAGCCACGTTACCTATCTAATTCCCTAAGTCTTTAATTCTAAAAAGCTAAGGAAATAATTACCCTCCTTTAAACTTACTTTATTACTAGAAATAAGATAGCTAAGAATTAGACTATATTTAACTGCCTATATATAACTAATATAGAGATATTCCCTGCTTTTAAGTTATAATTCTAGAGTTTTGCTATTAGAGGAGAAGTACCCTAATTAGAGTAGTATTACTACCTCTAGATAAAGATTACACCTTCCCTAAGGATACTAAACCTTACTTTCTAATAGAATTAGTATAATAATTTTAAGACTATAGTAGATTATCTTACTACTTTTAATATAGAACACTACCTATACCCTACCTTATCTACTCCTACCTAGACTACTCTATTATCTAGAAAAGGACTAACCCCCTTCTAATACTCTAGAAACTAGTCCTATTTAGACGCTAATTAGAAACACTATAATAGACCTTTAATAGCTAAACCTTATATGCCCTACTTATAATAATAAGGCACTACCCCTTAAAATAATTAACCCCTATCTACTACGCTAGCTACTCCTAGCGCTACTATAATAGGAACCCTAGTAAATTGCTATAATTATAGAAAGCCTAGGCACTTCTCTAGTAACTACCCTAAACCCCCTAGGATTTAGGCTATAGATATAGAACAGGTTATTAAGAATTCTAAGGAAGAAGAAGCTACTAAATTAACTAATTTAGATAGCTACTAGATAGGAAATAATAATACCTAGGAGGATCCTCCTTCCTAGGCCTAACTTAATATAAGCTATTAAACCTTTCCTTAACTAAATTATTTATTAGTTCCTATTTACTTACACGTATAACCCTATGCCTTAATAGATCTAGTGTTTACCTAAATACTTTAGTAGATACTAGGGCCTAAGGTTACTTATTTCTTAATTTAAAAATTGCTTATAATATCTCTTCTATGCTTAGGGTACCTATCTAAAAACTACTATACAAGCTTACTATTAAAGGGTTCTAGGATTAGATTACCTCCCTAGTTACCTACTATATTTAGCTTTATATAATAGTTAGTAGCTAAAAGGTTTATAACTACCCCTTTATAATAGTAGACTTAGGTTCTTAGGATTATATTATTAGATAACACTAGCTAAAATAGTTCTAAATCCTAATTAATACAGATAAATCTTAACTAATCTAGCTAGAGAAATATCCTCTAACCTACAACCCTACACCTCCTATTCTAGTACAACTCTACTAGTAAGTGCTGTCTACTCTAGTTACCTATAATATCTTGCAAAGAGACGCCCTTTAGGATTAAGAGGAGAACTAGAACTAAAATAGTCCTAGTTTAATTAACTAGATATATAGTATACTTAAAATTCTAGCTACTTATAGGGCTACTACTAAACCTATTACGCTACCTACCCTAGTCTAATTACTAACTATTACCCTACCTATAAAATTCTAAATTACTACTATTTCTACTAATACTTTCTATTTTAATATAAAAAAATCTTCTAATAAATTCTTTACTACTAGCCTATATAAGATTAAGCGTAGGATCTAAACCCTATCTAAATAGGATACTCTTAACACCTGCTTATTAGATTAGAAGCTCCTATCTAA